GCTCTGCCCTCAGTATTGACCCACTCTCTGAACTTCCCCTTCCAAGATGCCTATGGAGGGAAAACCTGACTTTGCCACCTCCCAAAGGAGTTTTGAGGATAAACTTCCCATGGGATGCTTTGCCTCTGCAGGGCCAGACCTTGCAGGAGCCTTGGAGTCAGCAGCGTTGAAAAACAACTCATAAAACTGCCCTTACTCTGCAAACTTGGGCCATGATGAATTTATGATCCCTCCACTAACAGGGCAAGAACGAGCAAGGAAGCGATGATGGAGGCTCTGTTACTGTAATGAATTTGTACTTTCCACCACCACTTGCTTCCTGATTTACAACGGAGCAGGGAACCTCAAGATAAAAGAAAAACAACCAAAAGAACCCTCACCTCACCAAACCCAAAAGACGCCTCATGTTTTGGTTTCTTTCTTCCCTCTCCCACCCTGCCTTGCCCTGTCAGGCCATTAATTCTAACAGAAACCACCAGCTCTGTTTTTTTCCCTCAAACCCCTCAGCTGTTGCAGGGAGACAGCTGCACCCTCTGGAACTAATTACAGCTGTCTGGGAGATTTAGTCCTCCATCCCAACAACTCCAATATTGCTGCTAATTTTTAACACATACAGTTGGAAGATGTCATAATAGGCTGATATACGATCGAATCTTAAAAGTGCTACGGCACAGCTGCTACTGGGCATCTGCTGCGGGAATATATTGATTTAAAAAAATAATGCTTAGTATTTTTAGCCTTTCTGCCCTCCCCGGGGCTGTGATCTTGCCTGATCCAGGTGGGGATGGAGAGTGGGTGCTTGCCTAGATGGGTGGTGGCAGAGGGGTCCTCTGGATGGCTTGGTGCTCCTCCCTCTTCCATCAGCACTGTCGCTCTCCCAGTGACACTGTTGGGCTAAGAAGTTGCCCAAGGGGCCCTCCTGTCCCTTTTCCTTGTTGCTGTCATAGCAAAGAGGGTTTCCCATCTCCTGAAGGACCTTTAAAGGACATCTAGTCCAACTGCCTGCAGTGGTCAGGGACACCTTCCACAGGTTGCTCCAAGTCCCTGGCCCTGGCCAGCCTTTGCCAGCACCTCACCATCCTCTCAGGGGAGAGTTTCCTCCCAATACCCAGTCTATATCCATCCTCCTTCAGTTTAAAACAATTTTTCAGTGATAGCTGGTGCCTGTTGCTTCCCAAGGAACCAGAGGGAGCTGCTAGCTTGTGTTGTCTTGGTAAATCCAAGGAAGCTGCTTGCAGCCAAGATCTTAATTCCTAACCTGTCTGTCTCCTCTGACCCATGAGTTTTGCTCATCCTTCTCCAAGCCCAAGTGATCACCTGGATGTCAGACTCCTATTAATGCAGATGAGATCAGATAGTTCCTTCAGGACCTTCCTGAAGATGTTCCCACTTTTCCAGAGCAGCAAGCAAGGTTCATGCAGGGTCAGTCTCCTGTGCCAGAGTGGGCTTTGAAACCTGTGGATCCCTTCCACCAACCAGAAGGTCTTTGTGTGAGCACCAAAATTGCACAAAACACAAGCACTTGCTGCTGAGGTGATGTGTTGTGGTTTCTTGGCCTGCAGGTGGCCATGCAGTGCATGTCTTACCTGAGTTACAAGCTGTCCTGAGCTCCAGGAGATGCTTGTAAACTCTGTGAGCCTTAAAATGATGGACTCTGGGGTGTTACTGCTTAACCTGTTAGTGCAGGAGCACGTTCATTCCCTGAATCCCAGGAGGAGGGAGTGGGACCAGCGAGGCAGTGCTGGAGGAGTTGGCAAATCCTGTAACTTCAGGACTGAGGCACCCAAGTAGGTTATAAATACTGGGAGAGCTTGTAAACTCGATGAGCCCTGAAATGAGGGGCTCCAGTGAGTATTAAACTCTGCAGCTTTTACATCATGAGCCTTGCAAGGAAATATTCCCATGGGTTCCGGGTTTTCCACCTTTCTCCCACTGCCCCTAACCCTGGGAAGGACAGAGAGGACGGACAGTGCTGGGTGTGGTTGTTGCAGCTGTGTTTGAAA